GATTTAGAAGTTTTGAGTTTCATCACTGAGTGATAGATCTCATCAGGAAGAGACATAACTATTATAGACCGAGCACGCATGTCTATAGCTATTTTCTTTTTATCCTCATCGCTCCACTGATGTGGAAGCTTTGGAATCTGCCGTTCAGGAATCGCAGCAGTCGTAGTTGTTGCTGGAACAGCCGGAACAATAGCAAATGGAATATATGGTCCATTTTCTATGTAATGTGGAATTTCAGGATCCACACCTTCCAGAAAAAGGGACATCCAGTTCTTCTAGAGACTAAAGTTGTCATGGACAAACCGCAGAAGTTTGGCAAGAGAGCCATTATCTTGTGTGTGTGTGTTTGCAATTCGAAAAGCCATTTGTAAGCAGTAAATTATCTAAGAAGATATAAATTAATACAGAAAATTAGCCAAACACAAGAAAAGAAAGAAAACACTGCTCTGATAGCACTTGTTGGTCCCGTAAGGGTCTACAAAAAGAGAAACAGTTTGTAGAAGGGAGGGGGAAGAATACAAACATAGTATTTTCAAATTTAAAATATATATTGATAGAGAACAACAATCGTGCTAAGGACTAATCAGCTCCGTACCATACTAACTTTTGTAAGGGTTTGGACTTTGTCCTTTGTGTGCATAAGGACAAGACAACAACAATCGTGCTAAGCAAGCTTCCTTTGATCGCTGAATGCTGGAATGAGCTAAAGATCTCATCATCATTTGTTGAAGCTTGAGCAGTCTTCACACATATGTAGACAGGCTTGTAATCACTGAATACCGCTTCAGATCACGTACTCGCCGGTCTCTAATCTTCAGTTTCAGTCTTCGACGTTTGTTGAAGGTTCTTTGGTGTGAGTGTTATCTTCTTGAAGTATTGCCGTCTCTGATAGATTTACAATGCAAGTTCTTCAACGATCACTGAACATACTCATTGAAGATCACTGGAACTGAAAATACAGAAACACAAATACAACGTGAAAGAGAAAAGGGATTATCATCAAATCACTGAGAGAGAGGATCAACAGTTATCACTCATGTGGCAATGAAGTCTACTCTTATCCTCTTCATAGGTGGCAAATTGAGGCTTTAAAGCCAGAACACGTGAAGTTCAAACGTATGGTTGGTTATTTAGACTCCTTATCTGAAGACAATTGTGGTCTCAAAGTCTTTAAAACCTGAATTTGGGTGCTGAGACTTCGGGGTCTTCGAGAGGTTATTCTAAAGGAAGTGCACAAATCGCGATAATCTATTCATCTTGGAGGTATGAAGATGTATCACGACCTACGTACCAAATATTGGTGGCCTCTTGGCTGGGTATGGAAGTTGATATTGGCTGATATGTTAAAAAGTGTGTCACTTGTCTACAAGTGAAAGCCGAACACCAGAAACCATATGGAAATTTACAACCTCTTGAAGTGCCAGTATGGAGGTGGAATGAGCTGACGATGGACCTTGTGACGAAATTTCTAAAGACGTTTAGACAACACGACAATATTTGGGCTATTGTTGACCAATTGACAAAAAGTGTTCATTTTCTTCCTGTTCTTGAGTCTTTTCCGATGGATCAATGGCCACAATTGTACATTGACGAGATTATTGTAAGACATGTGTAATGGTGAAAATAATCTATGATCGTGATTCTCGGTTCACTTCCAAGTTTTGGACGAGTATGCAACGAGAGTTGGAAACGCAGGTTGCCCTTAGTACCGCGTATCATCCCCAAACTGATGGCTAGTTAGAGTGTATCATTCAAACATTAGAAGATATGTTGAGGGAATGTATACTTGAGTTTGGTGGAAGTTGGGATGTCCACTTGCAATTAGTGCAGTTTTCTTATAATAATAGTTATCATTCATCGATTAGAATGGCCCCGATTGAGGCTTTGTACGGACGTAAGTGTGTACGCCTCTTTGTTGGCGAGAAATGGGTGAAAAGATTTTGGCGGGTCCAGAGTTGATCAAAATTACTCATGACAAGATCCGAGTTATACGAGAAAGAATGAAAGCGGCACAAGATTGGCAAAAGTCAGATGCGGATAAACAGAAGCGACCAATTGAGTTCTCCGTAGGAGATATGGTCATGTTGAAAGTATCGCCTTGGAAGGGAGTTCTGATATTTGGTAAGCAAGGTAAACTAAGTCCTCGTTTTGCCTTCAAGATACTTGAGCGAGTGGGAAACCAAGCTTATCTATTGGAGCTACCGGAAGAACTCATCGGAATTCATGATGTCTTTCATGTAGGTTATCTACGAAAGTGCCTTGGTAAACATAATGAGACGGTTCCCTTGGCAGAGGTAAAACTTGATAAACGGTTGAGATACATTGAGGAACCGAAAGCTATCTTGAATGAAAGAACGATGAACCTTCAAAATAAGATTGTAGACTTGGTGTTGGTCAAATGGAATCATCACTGAGGTCCATAAGAACAAAGAAGAAATGGAATCCAAGAATCCGGAACTCTTCGAACGACAATGATTTCGAGGACGAAATCTTCAAAAGGAGGAGGTAATTGTAACATACACACATTTATATATCAACTTAAATAACCTATAAATGATGTGTTTCATGCTTAGTATTGTTTAATGGTTGGAATAATGAATTAAAGGTTGGAACACCTTAGAATAAGTTAATATAAGATGTTAGAGTTGGTAGATGTCAATAAAATAAAGTGTTGTTCTCTATGGGCATAGATGTGCAAAGTATAGTGGCTATATAAGAAAGAATTTGCACAAATGTTTTTCTGAGATGAATTTTGAAAATATGAGAGCTTTGGGTGAAAGTAGACTTAATAAGGAACACATAGGCAAAAACCTCATCAAAAACGGAGGTCCAAGCGAAAAGTTATGAATGGTTAAGTGTTTGGTGGTCAAAGTGGGTACCCAACCGGGTCGAACCCGATCCAACTCGGGTTTTAGCAACCTTAAGTTAAAAGAAAATGATTTTGGCCCTATTTTTCTTCCACATTTCATTTCTAACTTCTGGACACTTCAAGAGCATCAATCTTGGGTGTTTTTACAAGAAATTGATGAGATTTTGCCAGATTATTGAAGATGTCAAAGGTATATTTCCAATCTTCACTATGTGTTCAATTTGAGTTCAAGAAACCATGAAGTTAGGGTTGCATGTTGAGGATTATAAGTTGAAATCTTGATATTATGTAGGATAGATGATAGATAACTTATTATCTTGTTGAAATCATGATATAGTTTGAAAAAATGTGACTTTTGATAGTCAATATTGTATATGATGATGAAATAGTTAGATGTTTGGTAAAATAATAGTGGATTCATGATGATTTCGTATAAGTTATGATAATATAAGACTAATATGCGAATTTGGTACAAAATGGTTTGGGATTTAACATGTAATTGTGAAAAAATAGCTATTTTCGAGTTAAAAAGTCATGATACATCTCTATTTTATAAAAATCATATAAAATCATATAAAAATCACAAAGATATGAGGTCAGAGGCATTGGAAAGATAGGAAAGGGTAATACAAATTGTCTTTTGATGCTATTATGTGATTATGAGGTTTTATAGGGTAAAACCAGGCTTGAAAACAGAGTTGTGCAAGGAAATTTTAAAGTGTAATTGTCAATTAAAAAGAGTTTAGATGGCGTAAATGGTAATGTTTGCTTATGATACTAGGTATGTATACTCCAGGTATTATATATATATCACATTCGGATCTTGAAACAAATGTTTTCACTATGGAAGCTCGGAGTTGAATCGAGGCTTTCGGTTTGATCAACCGGATAGATTAAGCAACATTATAAGTTTATGTGGACATATGGGTGTATTTTTTATTATGGATGCGTATTTATTTTCTTGTTCATCCATGATTCATTTTATTTCTTGAGCATCCCCTCGAATTTTCTTATTGCTTATGGTAACACCCCATTCCACACATTGCATGTAACATAACTTCATATACAAGAAATACATGTTTAAACACCACATAGGTCCCTTAGTACAAGAATTTATCTTTACATGATACAAGATCCAAAAATTCAAAATACAACTCTTGTACTAATCAAGTTTCATTTACAAAACTATACATATCATCAGCAAATCTTCATGCAGATATACATATAGGGAATTCTCATATTTTCCATTTTCCCTTACCATCTGCACTTCCTGCAATACATATTTAAAATCATAAAACGAGGGTTAGACCGAAAGGTCTAGTGAGTTACCCTATTTATGATATTGCAGGGTAAAAATCACCAAAAACTTTATGTAAAGCAACTTTTCATATACGAACGAGTATGAACATAATACCAGTACATTCCACTTTTCAAGCCCAATACTCTGCTTGCAAATAATGCATCAAAACCCCAAATAGATTTGTGCTAAACAAGTATATCATAGTGCCACTTTTAAACCTTTTAAATCAGATAAAGTTTATTCAAAGTTTCAGGCCAAACCTGTTATTTCTTTTTCAATAACATTCAGACTATGATTTCCACTAAGAACCCTGATCCTAAACTTTTAAATCACAAAGAAATAAATATTCCAGACCACGGTAATCTTAAAGGATATAATAGTAAGAGTTATATTACACAACACACATACAAAAGCCACCCTTATATTCAAATGTACACTCTCCTTGATATGCCACCCTTATCCATGGTACACCTCTCCTTGATATGTCACCCTTATCCCATGGTACAGCTCTCCTTGATATGCCACCCTTATATCATCATCAAAATATTTCGTAAAATAATTTCGTATTGAACAGACCGTAGTCATACATGTTCCAATGGAATATCATTAGCTCAAAATCATTTTTATCCATATTTCTATTTCTTTTAAAAGAATTAATAAAATAAATAAGTCAACACATAATCCGGTCAAACCTTGACCGGATTACTAATCCGGACAACACCTTTCCTTACGTCTGATTTAACACTAATAATTCTCAACACCTTGTCCGGATTACTAATCTGGACAACACTTATCAAGACTTGTCCGATTTAAATAAACCGGTTACCTTTTTAGCCGTATTCATACTTCTCCGTTAAAATACTTAAACATAATTTTAAATTTTCATAAACCGCTCAACAGATAAACCGGCCAGCACTTGATCGGATTATCTTGAAACCGGGTGAGACCATGTCCGGTTTACATAAACCGGGTGAAAGTTCATATGAATTAGTTTATGCAACTTTAAAATCTTTTAGAATTAAGGTTGGGCACAACTTGAATCCGCTTGATTCAAATCAAAAGCAATCCGGTCAATCCACTCTCCTCTTAAATCGCACACTATTCTCAAATTTGGCAGGGAAAATGCAAATGGAGGTTAGTCCTCCTTTTATACTTTCATTTTTCTGGAAAGTTGGCTATTACAGCCATATGCACATGCATACCTTTTTACTCTCACACTCAATTATTCATATCCAAACATGCATATATATACATATATATACTCATGCATACACCACATGCATGTACTCAATCATATATATATATATATATATATATATATATGCAAAACACATAGTTATTCACACAATTTTGATGCATACCACCTTTTGCATACGCATTTATGCATATAATTTCACATACCGACATGCTCCAATATAACAATTTATCATGGTAACACGTAATCATATAACAATTAATCACGTATTAATTACCTCGGGTGACAACCAGGATCTAGTTATCACACTTATATTGTCTTGTGGTGCGTTTTGGGCATCGTTTGTCGACATCCCATGGATTTGGGTGAGACAATCGGAGGGGCTGCCGTACTCACTGCCCAGTGGAGTCAGGGGGTGAGTATAGGACCTTAGCATAATCTGGGAGATGAAGGGAGGATTTGGTGTCAAGTCTTATGTTTTTGTGTGAACTTAATTGTATTTGACCTTGCATGATCTTGAGGATGATGTTAATTGTAATGATGTCTTTCCATGTTGAAAATTCCTTTGTGATTCCCACATTTAAATTACGATGTTGTAAATTACATTATGTGGTATAACTAAGTTTTTGTTGTGTCGTTATGCAAATTTTCTTTCGAGTCCTTCTCTGTTTCCTTGTATGTTCGTTTATATAACATATTGTAACCATATATTTCCACATGAGTTCACTAAGCTTTATAGCTTAACTTTTCAGGACAAGTTGACAAAAGTAAGAACAAGGTTAGTTGATTGATTAGGGATTGATGTGTGAAGCCTACTTTTGGTATAGGTATATGTTATTCTTTTGGGTTGTATATAGTTTGTATGTTCCGGGTAGACATGTCCCCAATGATTATGTTATGGTTTGTTATGTAAATATTAAGCTTTAAATTATGTATTTTAGGTTGTAAATCATTATCCCATATTTTGAAGTTTTTGAAACTAAATTAATTTAATGATGATTTCATAAGTGTTTGTTATGTAACCGCGGTGTTACAATATTAAACAAATATATGTTAATTAATGTATCAACTTTTAGCCTTAGATAGAAAAATTCATGTAAAATAATAAGTTAATGTAGTAAATCTCACAATTACCACAATATATGGGCCGAGTTCTCAAATGATTAAGTTTCTCATAACACATTTAATATGTATAAGATCACATATGATTCGAAACATAATTCATAATTCACGAATATCACATATGACATTGTGGATAACTTAAATTTATTTTTCCACTTAAATTTACTATGAGCAATGTCACATATGATATTTTGACGAAAATTAGCAATATTTTTAAAGAAAAACTCGTCGATTGATCATAGATATTACATATGATTTTTGATGAAAATTATAAAAATCTTAAATAAACTTCTTCAAGAGAAAATTAATATGTTAAATAAAAAACTAAATCACATTTATTTTATATGACATAAAAAAAATAAAAACAAAATAATAATAATTGAATCATGAAAATTGTAAAAGAAAAAATCTTAAATATGTACCTTAATTAATAGCATTAAATAACTTACATATAAGAATAAATTTTTTTCATATATAATTCATATTTAAATGACACATATGACATTTTCGAGAAGTTTTAAGAAAGTTTTTTTACGATATGATTTTAAAAAAAATGTTTGGTTGATATACATTTCTTTTATCTTCTTATTTAGTTAGTGTTTTTGTTTGATCTTTCTCATATATAT